AAGCACTTTTAGTAACTTTAACACCATTGTTACATATTTCATGAAAGATTTGTGTAGAAGTTAAGGCGGCCTCACATTGAACAGTGCAGCTGTGCACCACAGCAGAAAGTGACTCACACTGAACACTGCAACCAGGCTGTCCTTGCTTCGGCCCCTCCGCTTCTGTTTCGCCTTTTTGATTTTGCTAGCAAAGCTAGGCGGATTGAATTTGTTATTTATTTAATATTATTAGTGCCCGCTTTCCTGTGTGACATGTGAAAATCAGGAGCTTGATGCACAAACTGCTTTGGTGTCCGGCCAAATTTCCTTCCGTGCTGAAATACTTTGTTTATCCAGAAGGCTTCTATAAGTGCACCCTCACTGCACCGTAACTGATGTGAATGTACACATTGATTTTAATGATTTGGATTTCTTGTGACATCCACACAGCAGCTGCACCAGGGTGAGCCCAGTGTAGATATACTTTCACAGATCCAGCAGACATACATTTCTATTTTTAAGTGTATTCAAGTACTGAAAACTTCATAAACATTTGAAGTTTGCCATTTTTAGATTTCCTAAGTTGTTTTTTTTAAAGCATTGAGTCTTTGTATCTTGAACATTTTGTTTTTTAATGAAAATCATTTTTTTCCCCCTTTATTTCACAATTTGCTGCCATCTTCTTCCTATTTGTCTCATTTCACTTTACTTAAGCCTCTACTATATTACATTGATATTCCTTTATTGGTTCTTTAGGGCCACATAAATTGCTGTGAGTGGTCGGATTCAGCCCATGGGCCTCGAGTTTAGTATATGATCTAGTATATACTATCGAAGTTTATGCTGCCAGTTATAAAAATGAACCAAAGAGCTCCTTTCCCTACTTGAAGAGATTATTAATCAAATTGTAAACAGTTACCGTAACAGAACCTCTCAAGGCATGAAGTTAGAGTTAACAGGAAAGGCGTAAGGTGGTACACAGTATCAGGTAGGAACACATGGGGAAGCTGGACAAATCTTTTCCCCCGCTGATTTTGTCTCAATTTCTCATAATTTCACTGTGCCATGTACTTTGGAGGTATACAATCCTTAATTTCATGTTTTGTTACATAATACAGGTCAAGACCACAAAAACATATCCTCCCCAAACACAAAACGTCATTTAGACGTTGGTTTTTTGGCAAAAGCTGGTTGCTCCGTCATAGCTTTGATCCAGAAATAGTTATTACAAATTTGGTCAATCTGATTTGGTCCCACTTTAATCTAAAAATAAATGTTGAAAAGATGTTGCAGAGCCAGTTTTCAGTCTTTTCAACAATCTGAAAATTATAGCTTTTCACCTTGTTGACATTGTTTGGATGTAAATCATGTCTTTTCAATGTCTTTCCAACCAGTTTTTGCTTGGTAGGATGATTAGACTGATACCAAGTGAACCATGAGGCTAATAAGTATTTTTGCAATAGCATACAGTAGTGAGATTGTTACCTTGGCATTAGGGCGGCAGCCAGATGATGTGTCAGAATCCAGGGAGTAGCTATTGAAGATGTCATTCACTTCATAACTTAAGACATTCCTGCTTTTTGAATTGTCTTTACTTCAAACTCTAAGCTTAGATTATTTTAAATCTTGTGAAGATTTACCAACGATTAGAGATCCAAATCTGCAATTTCATTCCTTGTTCAGAGTAAACAACGATGTATTTAAATGGCTCTAGATTAATACATCGAATAATAATAGAATCAATCACTGCAGCAAAAAAAATACATAAATTGCACTATGATTATTATAGCAACATAATACTTTCCCAATTTGAAGTGAATATTACTTAAATTGTAATGAGGTAAGAACCAGTTGAAAAAAAACATAGAAAGAGACATTTTTACTCAAAGCTCACCTCTTGCCTTCTGTTGATTTCAAATATTATTAATCTTTCAAGGGGAAAATAACTCTTAGCCATCTACATCAGGATATAAACTGTGTTTAAATTGTGTCACCTTAGACATAATACTAGAACTAGATCTGACCTAATGACATGCTGATGCTCCATCAAACATGAGTAATGCTTACAAAACTGAACTAATATGAAAAAAAAAAAGTTTTCATGAGTGCTCTGGGACTTAAAGGCCTTTAAGGCTTTGCTTTCCTAGTGTTGTGCCGTGATACAATGAAAGTAGACAGAGCTATTTATTCTCTCATTGCTGCTGTTATGCCAATGAAATTTCTTGTCAGATCTAGAGTCACCACGACTGAAGTTAGCTAAAGTGATCATATTAGGTTTTTGCATTGTCACCCTTTAGATGCTGCTATCAGCTCAGTGTGAGTTTATATTTTTGTTTGCACTGTTGCGCTGTCTAAAACATGAATACATAGAGTACTTTAGCTTCTTTAAAGTCCAGCCATTTTCATAATCTCTGTAAAAAGGAGATTAGCAATGTACTATATAAAATCTATTCAAGTAGTGAGTCCCTTCTTTAAGTCTGTGCATCTTGTACAGGAATAGCTTCTTGTAGATGCACTCAATACAGATACATCTATTACTTAGTGGTAAAACTAGACTGAAGTGCAGTAGGATTCTATAAAATATGTTTTTTGGTACCGTTTCCTGGGCAAGCATTACTGGAGTTGCAAATTTTATTTTCAAATTAATGCATGAGCCAATCAGCTTTGGTTACCATTTGAAATATTGCAAAATGCCACCTTTTTAATACTCCTCTTTCTCTGTTACCTATCATTCATATTAGTTGAAGGACACTGAGCAGATGGAGCATAAACCATATACTGATGTTAAAAGGGTAAAGAAAGAATATACAGTTTGATATGTGCATCTGTGAGAACAGAACAGTAAAGTGAACGATTAATTTTCTTTAGTTAAATCCGGCTGAACAGGTGCAGTGGCGTCTGAGGTAAATAAGTGAGATTAATTTTCTGTTTATAAAAAAGCCTCAAGCTATTTATTTATTTATTTTTTACCTAGGTAAGTTATTTATGAATTATATACCTGATTATTTCATATTTTTCTCTATTTTTTGAATCTCAAAAAAGACTTTCTAGTTAAACAGTTTTACCAGATTATCTGGAAAAGGTTTAGCCTCATTTAATGACAAAATAATTTTATTATTCTACTCACTGAAGGTAGATCTCATTTCACCAAAACGTTAAACAGATTAAGCCAATTCATTCTTAATACCGAAATTCCATTTTTTTTTTTTTTTTATTAAAGTCCTTTAAAGTTGGCATTAAAAACATTCTAAAACTTTCTTTTCAGAGTTTTGCTCAATATTGTGTTCAGAAATTAGGTCTAAATATGTTGAAGTGAAATTACACATTTTAAAGCATTTTAAAATATTACATAGGTTATATTGGAGTACACTTACTTAAAACAGATTGGAATGTTGAAGCCTTTTTCATTTTTACTCCACCCAGATCTTTAGAAAGCATGTGATCAAAGAAGCTGTTGTTCGTTGCATGAGCTCCAACTTTCTAGGACAGTCATTTAAAGCTGTGTTTGTTTGTTTTTTATTTGAGCCAGCAAGGATACATTTTTAGAAAAAGGAAGATGTGCAAAGAGTAAGAAGTCTTAGGAATCTGTTTGTTTTTGTTTGATTTGATAAAATTGAGATGAAAGTATCTTAATCCCTCCATGACCAAGAGGAAACCTTTCAAAGGGTCAGTGCGAGTGCTACTCGAGCATAAAGGCAATGACTCCATAACAACCTGATATGAAGCATCTGAATGCTTTTCTAACAGCAAAGTTGAATTTTATTAGTAACCTCTAATGAGGTTTATTTGCATTTAGATATTTGACACCCAAGTTTCCTTCTTCCAGTTCAAATATGGATGTTACATCCATCGTAAGATTGTGGACACAATTGCAGAAATTACTCAGGAACACAGAACGAAAAGATGGAGGTGTCATAACAACAGAAAACTATTATAAAACAGGTGATCCAGAATCCCTCAAAAGCAGTGACTGTGGAGACGATGAAACAATATTCATGGATTCCATAAGAATGAGGTGGGTGTGGTTCTGTGTTCAGAAAGAATGAACTTGGCAGAGTGCAACTGTGTGAGGACTTAAAGGAGCTTTGGATCTTTTTTCTAGGAGAAGTAGAACCAAGCGTTTGAGAGAGGGCAGGCTTTCAAGATCAGTTATGTGTAGAGCTGCTGAGTGTAATTGTGGAGCATGTCATTTTAACTTTGAGCATGAAGAACTTTATTAGGACTGCAGTCATTTGTGAGATCTACTGGTAGATTTCTGCTTTGCAGGGAGAAATCCATCTTCCTCCATGAACACAGACACATGCATGAGGTAAAATAATGACAGTGAAACCTTGAAAAATGTTGAATAGATATACAAATATCCAAAGACTTTTATGACTGTTTTATAGTTAACAGTAATATTGCTTTCAAATGAGTTTACTTTCTGCAGTAGAGCATAATGACATCAATGCTTAAACAAAAACTCATTACATAATTTATTACTCTATTTAGAAGAGACAGTAGGGTTTGTCTGCTCTGCCTCATGGTGCCTTGAGTGTTGTAGAGAAGTGCAAGGTGCTTTGTGTTAAAACCACTCAAAGGATTTCAACAGGCAAGAGCCTGAACACCAGTTCAGCTCTGTTACTGCTGTGCCTCTATTACCCTGATCACTGTGAAATATGAAAGAAATAGTACTAGGAGCTGCAAATGTAATAAGTTATTTACAACATTTCAATTTCATCAAAAGTTCTCAGATGTATATTACTTAAAGTTATCAGGCTACTTTGGTACAGAAAAGATCCCAACACCTATGGGCATCTTTGTACCTTAAGCCTTCTGTTATCTGTTTTGATTAATCTTTTACGTGTGAAACTGTTGAATTCAGGATGTCTGAACCAGGTTTTCTTTTTATCATAAATATTTTATGACCTAATTAGAAAACTCAATAATACTTCAAATCCTTTAAGTTTTTAGATACAGAATAAATTAAGTACAGTGTGATGCAGTCTTCACTTATTTCGTACTGGTTTTCTCTGTCACAGCTCCCCCAATGATCCGACTCTCGGTAAATGACAGCGTGGTGGTTGATCCTGGACAAGATGTGGTCATGACCTGTGAGGTGACTGCAGGTTTACCCCCACCCACAGTCACATGGTCACGTTATCCCGGACCCCTTCCCCTCAGTGCTCTGGTTCGGGGGCCGACACTAGTTTTACGTGCAGTCACACCAGCGGATGCAGGTTTCTACAACTGTACAGCAACTAACAATGTGGGAAACCCTGCTCGCAAGAACATCAACCTTGTTGTCAGGAGTAAGTAAATGTTTTTTTTTTTCCTCATGTGGATAATAAAGACAATGCTCAGTGGATTTATTATTGAATCTTGGGGTATTCACGTAGATAACACTAACTATTACTTAGAACTATTGCATCGGCTATAAAATATTTTGTTGAATTCAAAATTAGGGTTTTACAGTTAAAAACTAATCAGTTTTCAGTGAACAGATTTTTGTCATAGCTTTTGAAACATTCAAAAACAAAGGACAAGAAGGTCATTTGACAGTAATTACTCAGATTTTGAACATACTCTCATTGGTTATTCACTATTTTTACCCTCTTCATGATGTTCATGGTCACAGAGGGCTAAAGTCAATCAAAATATTTCATAGGCATGTGAAAGGATACAGAATACAGGGTACCAATCCCAAGGACAAACACAAGGAAACTTTTATTCAACATTACTTGGAATGGAACTAGGTAGGGTATTTTACCATTTTTAAATTATGATTTTAAATATATTTTTGGCAGAAAAAAAAACTATAAATAATTACTGACAGGCAGACCTTAGATTGGTAAATACATCTTATCTTTTTTACCATAAGATAATTTAAAAGCACTGTCACCATAAATGATTACACACACATCAGGCCTTTTCCTCATCAATGTAGGTTTTTTCTAAGAAGCTCCTTGCAAAAATGTCATAGTTTCTATAAGTTTCTTTATTAAAAAAATATATTATTTTATACCACCACCTACAGACAGTGTAATCATTTATCAAGAAGCAGCAAAAAAGGAAAGCACTGTGCATGTGTTTAATTTTACTGTGTTAGGTTAGAGGTTAGGTAATGGAATAACTTTTCACAATAGTTTTATATCACATATGAAAATTCAAAGAAAACAGCATTTGCAAAACTAATGTTTATTAAGCATGTAGGTAGAAACCCCCTACTGAAATTGGCTCCACACTTTAAAGTTCACAATTTCTTTTTTTTTTTTTTTTTGGGTGGGGAGATGATATTCTTTAAGACAGAGGTCCCAAACACATTTGTCTATGCAAATATTAAGAATAGGTGTTATTTCAGGAGAGATGGATTAAAAAGGTCCAAGACCAATGCATTTTGGCAATCAAACACTGCCTTTTGCCACTGGTTGCCAAATGTATTTTAATATATATTTCTTCTAAAAACTCCATTAAACTTAATAAATGTAAAACTACGGTTTCTATGGCCAAATACAGTGTGTCCCTAACTCTTTATTTTTCTTTCTGTTGTTTAATCCTCATGAGAGAAAGCAAAATAGATTATTGTACAATATTAAAAGAATCAGTCTTTTTTCTATTAATACAGTAATTCCCACACTGCTACCTGTAATAATAACAATGATAATACTGAGTACCTAAAGTTGGAAAAGTTTCATTTACGAGAAATAGATTTAAAAAAAGATATTACCTTTCTGGTTACTGTAGCTTATCGACTGACAGTAATTTGGGACTGTATTAATGAGGAAGTCTGTGTGTGCTGTAAGCAGTTAATCCATCATTACAGTGAGCTGATGCGGATCTTTTCAGAGTGGGTGGGTTAAGTATTGCTCTTTTTGTAATTTCCCTGTCATTAAAGCAGAAATCTTCCATTCGTCCTCCCCTCTGGCTATTTTTGGTGCCTTTAATCATCTTTATTCACTCCAATTAGTTAGACTGGAGTGGAAGCAATTAGTGACAGTCTCTTCTGTTAGTTAACACAGTGAAGAACGTATGCCAAATACATTTCTCCTGTTAGTTTAATGGGTCTGAAAGCTTCTTCACACCAGTACAGGTGGAAAAAGTTGGTAGGTGACATGCAGGTTGATGCACATGCAGCTGTGATTCCATGACTTCACAGGGAAATTAATTACTTCCTAGACATTTACTGTAACCTTAATGTACTCAATTGCTTTGAGCAGAAGTAGAATTAATTTACTAACAAAATCATTGTCTTTCATAAAATAAATATAATATAAAGTCAATTAAAATAGATATATTCACAACATGTAGAGATCACTAAAGCATAGATGCAAACAGATACCATTTACAAGAATCTGATAATTTAAACAGTCTATATATCTTGTTATGAAGCTCTGCACACCTCTTCAACGTCTGCTATCCCGTTTAGTAGGGAAACAGAGAGCTGTTTTGCATTCAACATGGAAATCAGTTGGGAAAACACAGCCTTTGAAACTGAAAATTAAATGTGACAGTGTGAGTTACTCTTTGTCCTTGATTTTGTTTCCCCCCTCCCCTTTATCCCCATGTTATTTTATTCTGAATCTTTCCTCCTTCTTTGCTCTCCTTCACAATTTGCCTCTTCCTCTTTTTTATCTCTTTTAATCCCATCTCTAATTTCCTTTTTTCTTCTAGTTTCTTTTTTTCATTCTTCCCATCTTTAGATTTTATTACTCATCATGTAGACTTATTCATTATTTTGTGTTAGCCACCTTTCTACTCCTTATAGCTTTTTCATACACTTACTGTACTTGCTTTGAATCTTTGTACGCTTCATTTGCACACTCTGGCATAAGTATCCTAATATTTCTTTGTATGCCTCCATTCTCTTTGTCAGTGTTATTATTAAGTTTTTTCCCCCTAAACAACTGTCTAAATACGACTTCTAACAAGGCAAATACACTCATTACAGGCTGCCAAGGCTAGGGCTGAATTGTTCAGATCGATGCATAATAATCTGTAAAAATGTCCCAGACTTGAATCAGATTGAGAACTTGATGATTCTGAGGTTTAAGATATTTGCAATTAATGTGATAATTTTCCAGATGCTTAAGGTTAGTAGAGACATACCCTCAATGATTTGCAACAGTAAATGTGGAAACAGGTGGTTATACAGAGTACTGATTTATTTTGGCTGAATTCATATGCAAGAAAAAATTCTCAAAATATCTTGTGAAAATGTTTGTTAATGTTATATTACCAACTTTGACATCAACAAAGTGTTTCGACAGAGCTGAGTGTCAAAAGCAGTATGCACATCTATCAACATAATGGATTGATTAGCTGAGCAGCAAAGGCAAATAGAATCCAGCATGCAAACAAACACTTTTTAAGTATAAAAAAAACTGCACCCTTATAATGTCATGTGGGATTTAGAATGTAATATTTTATTGTGTTTTAAAGTTAACAGTTAATCCCTGTGAAAAAAAAACCACAGGATACCTTTCTCTTATGAAGGTCAAACCTTTGATGACAAAAACTGTTAAAACTTTGGATAGAGAGGACAGATGGTTTGAAAGTTATCACTGAGCAGAGGGAGATAATTGCAGTTTTACGGTTCCAAGCATCTACAACTCGGTCCTTGAACTCATTCCAAACAAATCACACAAGCACATTCATTACGATTTAAAGGGCCAAAGACATAAGCCATACACAAAAAGAGACTTCAGCAACCCAGGAGAAGGATGGATGGAGAAATTGTATGGGACTTGGAATGTGCTTAGGAGGATGGGCCTCCTTGTTGCTTAAAGCATAAAAGCTCCAACTAAAGATTGCTCTGGTGTAAAATGACCGGATTAACAAAGACTCCTGGATAGGTGTTAAAAAGTCTTGGCTTTGATAACATTAAAGTAAGTGCTCTCAATTTACAAGGTTTATATATGATACTCCATATCTGATAACATTGTTCATTCTAATCGTGTATTTAGGCTCCCTAATCTGAATTACAGTTAATGCTGTAAACATTCTTTAACTTCTCACACTAAAGAAGGTAAAAAAACAAAAAAATGAAACACACATCCTCCATTTGTAACAAGCAGAAATTAAAGGCATTTTTGTTAAACATCTATCCTTATTCTGATATATTATCACTTTTTCATAACCTTCCTTCTCTCCTCTTCTTTATGTCCTTTCTGCTACACACAGCAATGAGCAACCTGACTTTTCAAATCACACCTGATTCAAACAAGGACAGTGAGACCATCCAAATGGGTCGGGACCTGAAACTGTCATGTCATGTCGACGCCACCCCACAGGACAAAATCAACTACACCTGGTACAAGAATGGGGTCCCTGTCTTTAACTCTGATAGCCTGATATTGCTGCGCAGTGACCCTGACATGGCCCCCGGCACAAGTAGTTTGGAGATTGTAGACATGAAGTTCAGAGACCTGGCCATGTACAGCTGTGTGGCAAACTTCCCAGGCAGCAGGGTGCCAGAGCTGCGAGTGGATGTCAACATCTCCCAAAACAGTGGTATAGTTTTTCTGCTTTTATTTGATGTTTGATATAAAACTAGTTTGACCATACAGGGTGAAACTGTAGATTAAGTCATATGATTTTTAAGTCACATCTACCTCCCGAAAATTTGAAGCAGACATAAAGCTTGTCTAATTTCATATGCAATAATTCCTTTTCATCTAATGAAAGGTGAAAATGAAATGGATCTCTTCACAACCTTTGACAAATGTTCTTTTTCGCAATTAGCCATAACACATCCCTGTGATGATTTTTAACTGAACCTGACATTTTATTGTTTTATAAAATTGCATGTTTGTTTTCTTCCAGTCACTCCTCCGATACTATCAGTTCCATCAGGAGGTCAAGTTGTAAGTGTGCGTGAAGGAGGGAATGCCGAGTTGGTTTGCCAGGTTGATGGGAAACCCCGTCCTCCAATTCTGTGGTCAAGGACAGAGAAGGATTTACTTATGCCGTCAGGAACGCCCACGGTGGAGACGACTGATGGCCGCTTGAGGCTGAGGAACGTCAGCCGGGACATGATGGGGCTGTATCGCTGTCAGACTGCGCCATACAACGGCCTTAACATTAAGCGGAGAGAGGCCCAGGTCCAGCTGAATGTGCAATGTAAGTATGGATAGAATCATCATAACAGCCTACAACAGCACTCCTCAAGCAAGAGTAACACATGACAAAAAAACTGGCTATAGTCATTTATTTAAACATGGGTTTATTGATTTATTTTACAAAAAACACACGGTAAGGTTTGATTAAAATAAAATTGTATTGCCTAGAAATGTATGTTAAGCAACTACTCTCTTTAGAGGTCTATCTTAGTGAATAAGAATTAGATATATACTTTTTACTTTTTCTTTAATTCAATTAAAAAAGTAAAACTGAGTTTTCCATTTCAGTTTATTCATTTATATAGCGCCAATTAACAGCACATTTTCTCTCAACTCACTTTATAATTCAACCAGATCATATAGTCAAATTGATTCAAAGTTTTCTATCAAAGAAAAATCAATTGATTGCATCGACTCATTGACTCAAAGGCAATCCCTTAAACCAAGCATGCTTGTAGCGACAGTGGGGAGGAAAAACTCCCTTCTAACAGGAAGAAACCGCCAGCAGAACCAGACATAGTTTGAGCGGCCATCTGCTGAGACTGGCTGGGGTTCAGGAAGACAGAAGCAGAGATACAGAAACTGTTTACCTTACCTCTGTTTCTGTTACCGTAATAACATTCTCCTTAGAGCTAGTCTGGTCAGGAGCAGATTTTTCTCCATAAACTCAATTTCTCTGCCATCTTTAACACTAGAACTACCAAAGCTGTCATTTTGACGGTTCTGAGATTTTAAAGGGAAAAAACTTTATTTAAATTAATCCTATGTTGATCATGTTAACTGACTTTTCCTGTTTCTATATTTCCTCCATTTTCACGTAGTTTTATTTAATAAAATAAAAATGTAAAAAATAAATATGTTTAATTTTACCTGGATCTCGAACAGCCGCCATATTGAAGGCTCTATTAGTTGCATTATAAAGTCTTCCCGCGGTTGATTGATGTTCGGGACCGTTGTCTAGCAACCAACATTCTACCCAGAACTCTTTAGCTCATTTGGAAAAATGGCTTTCAAAAGAAATCTAACAGCACAACAGGCTTTGGAAATGCTTCAAAATTTGATGATAGCAATTCGGGTGGAGAAGGAGAGACCGATGAGGACATCTCTGCTTCTCTCTCCTTGAACCCCAGTCGGCTTCGGCAGATGGCCGCTCACACTGAGCCTGGTTCTGCTGGAGGTTTCTTCCTGTTAAAAGGAAGGTTTTTCCTCTCCACTGTCGCTACAGGCATGCTTAGTGTGAGGGATTGAAATTGACTCAATGAGTCGATGCAATCAACTGGTTTTCCTTAGATAGAGGACTTTGAATCAATTTGACTGTATGATCTGGTTGAACTGTAAAGTGCCTTGAGATGACATGTGTTGTGAATTTGGCGCTATATAAATAAACTGAATTGAATTGTGGCTGTATTTTACGATCTCATAGACATAGCAGCTATGAACGCATTGGTTTTGTTTAGGAGCTGTTTGAACATCACCGTCTCATGTAGAGATTTTATCCTTGAACTGGTAAAACAGTTGCGTGCCAACCACATGCACTCCAGAGAGCCGCAGGCTACCAGCCCCTCCGCTGAAGAGCAGCTTTGGCGAGGCAAAGAAAACTGTGCCAGGAGCCTCAGTGGTGTACAAAAAATAGGCTCATATGATGTTTGTCATAAATGTGAAAAGTCTGTCCTGGGGGAAATGTTCAGAGGTAATCAATCAATTTCTGTAAATAAAATAGTAATTTCAAACCTGTCTCATACATTTTACTGATTTATTTTAATAATAATATCCAATTAAAGTGCGGTATTTATTTACAGATAAGTAATATTTTACCTGATGAAAAAAAAAAGAGAATGCATTCTCTTCCCCTCTCTCCTCTGCACAAAGTATTTAGAAAGCTTACTAATCGTGGCAGGGGGCAGGGACAACACTGTGAGCACTGCTGTCCTCACTGGGCTCACTCTGATTAATGGAGCAGGTGGCCACCCCACTTTGGACGGAGAAAGAGAAACAGAGCAAAGAGACAGATACATGAACACGTCTTTGGGTGAAAGCTTTGGGGTTAAGAGAGGGATTACATCAACAAAGCACAAAGAAAGGATGTGAAGGGGGATAGCAAAGGGAGGGCTCAAACCAAGCTAAATGAGAACAAATTTCTATGGCTACAGCAATGTGGATGCAGCAAACTAGATAATTTTTCCTAATTCCAATATGACCTGTTTTAATCCCAGCCGTATTTCACATATGTTTTAATTTGATTGTCTTTCTCTCTTATTCTATTTATTGTTGGAGATCAATGTACATAAAGAAAAAAAATCATAATTTAGTGTTGCAGATATATTAAAACAGGTTAGCTAATACTGCCTGTCCCACTTTGGTCTTTACCTCCTCCCTTTTTTCCTTTTTCGCTGTTTTTCCCTCCATTTTCCCAAGAGAAGTCGATGCTCTTCCTCGTTGCCACTCTCATCATCATCAATCAGCCAACTGTTGGCCAGAAGAGAAGCACTCTCTCTGTCTTGCCATTCTCTTTCTGCATCCTGCATCCTCTTATTCGCTCAGTACCTCCCATAATCAATCACTAACTTTTTCACATCACATTCTCTCAGTCATTTATCTTCTTCTGTGCCTTTATTTAAGAGCAGCTTTTCTCTTAACTCACAACAACTAACTCCCCCGACACGCAAAGACACCTGGTCCTCCTTACCAGTTTTTCCTGTAAATGGACTTATGGGTTTGATGAGGGTTGCATTCTAGGATGGAATCCATATTGTATTCAATAACCCAGATAGCAATGGTGTTGTTGCATATATTACAGCGTTCTGACAATGAAACCTGGAAGTACAGTAGCGTCAGCCACACACAACGCTGAAATAAATGGAAAATAAGACTCGGGAGAATTTCCAGTCAAGTCAAAAAGATATTCCCCTCGAGCTTGAAAAGTATTTTGTTCTGCCAGGAAACTATTGCAATTATTGCAGAGCACATATACAGTTACAGCAGGCAAAACATTCCAATAATAATGACCACCAGCCAGAAGTAGTGGAATTATTTATGAACTGCTTGAAAACAAGCTAACACCTCACCTTCCATTATTCTCAAACCTTCTTTCCTGGTCCATCACAGTTCGGTTGTTGCTATTGGTATGCATGGCATATAGGTTCAATGATTACCTGTAGAACTTTTAAAACATCTGTAAGAAGAGATTAAAGTCTAGCTTTCAGCTGTATGAATGCAGTAAGAGATAATATGGAACATTAAACCTACCAATAAAAAGCTACTTAAGTTATAAGACTCTCTAGTTAGCTTTTTTTTTTTTTTAAGAAGTTACATTTTAAATACTGTGTGGAGCTATCTCCCAGTTTAATTGTTGCAGTTCCTTTGAGATATTACACCCCTTCCTGACCATGAAACATAGTGATGGCTGCCTTATGCTGTGTGCATGTACTCTTCAGGAAGTACATGGCCGGCAGGAAGAAACATGGAGCTAAATACTGGGTAAATCTTGACTAAAAATTATTAGACTGCAGACTGTTAGACTCGAAAGAAGGTTTTCTTTAATGCAGTATCTTTTATCAATCATATAGATGTGCTATATTACCTATGTTAAGAAGCAAAGACACTAAAACTCAAATAGGTTTTATTGATATAGCTCTAATTCAAAACACGTTCACCTATAAACAATGAAATTATGTACACAGATTGATAAAGAAGTTTTTAAATATAAGGAAACCTGTTGCGTCATTGACCTGCAGAATTCAGTCCTCCAGGATAAGCATGCAGTGACATTGAATATCCACTCGCATTGTGTTACTGGCTTTGCAGCAATGCCTCTCACTGGACATGCATGTCGTGACAGTGGAGAGGAAAATCTCTCTTAATAGGAAGAAACCTATAGCAGAAACAAAGCAACAAAGCTCAGGCTTATTCCGCTTGAGTAAAGGATTTACAAGTTTTAAAAGCTCTCACCAACTTTCCTGTGCCTGAAATTTTTTTTGTAATTTTTTAAATATGAATATTTGAAGAATAATTTTGTCACCATCACATCTCATCAGGGAAATGGACAAGACTACAACTTTGACAAACTTGATGTTTTGCATCAGAAAATGTGGTTTTGAACCTCAAAATCCCTTTTTTTTTACCATTGTGTTTTGTTATTCCTACTGTTCCATGCAGGTATGATTTGTTAGTGATATTACAAATAATACCGGCCCGGGGTCTTTCTGCATGGAGTTTGCATGCGTGGGTTCTCTCCGGATAGTCCGGCTTCCTCCCACAGTCCAAAAACATGACTTGTAGGTTAATTGACTTGTCTAAATTCTCCTTAGGTGTGAGTGTGTGCATGAATGGTTGTTTTTCCTGTTTGTGTTGCGCTGCGATGGATTGGCAACCTGTCCAGGGTGTACCCCGCCTCTCGCCCATTGACTGCTGGAGATAGGCACCGGTACCCCTCGCGACCCCACTCGGGACAAGCGTGTCAGATAATGGATGGATGAATCACAAATAATTTTCTTGTAAACAAATTATCCCACCTCCCACAATTTAGCAGATGGCCATTTCTTGCTCGGAGTTTATTTGTATACATTTTTAGATTATAAATTTAATATTTTTTCATGAGTTTTTAAAACTTGGGGCATGGCTTTATAGCCAAACTTTTCTTAACTTCTCCATAACTTTGTCCTGGACCTTACTGGCAGTTCCCTAGTCTTTATGATAGTACTTTTTATGCATAATTGTTTTCAAACAAATGTTTCAGGTGTTTTCTCAACAGCTACATTTATCCTCAGATTAAATAACATGCAGGTGTGCTATTATTATCCATTTCTAGATAAAAGAAATACATCACTTTGTATTTTTCTACCACATAAACTTCCAAAGAATTACTTAAAAGTTTGTGGTTTCAACATGAAAGAAATGTGAAGAAGTCAGCGGAGCATTTTTTTTTTCTACTTTTTTTTAAAGCAGTGTGTTTAAGGTTTCCAAGAGCTTATGGATATATGAACAGTATGTAACAATATTGATTGTGAAACTAAAAAGGTTGGGGGCTTTTTAACCTTCACTTCTACATGTGGAGACAATTGAACAAAAAGCAACAGGCAACACTGACACTGTGTTGAGAAAATTCTGGGGTGGTTTTCATTCTCCTTAGCATTCAGGTCCTCACTCATGTTCCTCAGACTGAAGTGCAAGCACAGAATGACAAACTGGTTTCAAAACAGGAATTTGGTCAGCATGCATCCATTGGTCTCTAGCAGAGAACCAAAAAATCTGATATTTTACTCCAAATAAGCAATAGAAGCTGTGTAAATGAAAAACATACCAGTATTTTACAAATATGTTTTTAACTCACGTTTGACTTGTTTTGCTCTTATATTAAAAATAATAAGTTGAAATAAAACTGCAAACTTTGTCCATTTAAAAAAGTTAATATTTTTTCATCAATTTCAAATGACATAAAACATGAATGGATAAAACAACTTCTAAATCAAACCTTTAATAAAAGAGGTTAGCAGACCATAAAAAATAAATTATCTGTTAGAAACATGAAAATTCTGTATAGGGAGTCAAAATGTTCCTCTTTATTCTGTACGCAGACAATGATGATAGCTTGAAACATTTTTTGACAAATCATTTGGTAAATTGGCAATAACACTGCATGACTGGATGTCACAGGATGAGTGCACTGTTTTAACAACACTATCCTGGTTGAACGTTGTGTAGTGCTTCACACTATACAGGGGTGACTGATTTTTATATTTTTAATTTTAATAAGATATTATCTGAAAAATTGTGATGTGTGTATTGTTTTTTTAGCCAAAGTTGATGTTAAAAATTATCTTCAGACATCTGGTTACTGCTGCTCAGCAGGAAAGAAGTTGCCTAGCAATACAAATGTTTGGATTGGATCTAGCTTCTATGTTATATTTTGAGGACAAGGCACTTATCCCTCAAGTTCCCTACAAAAATCTGTGTCTGTCTATAAATGCGTATGCATTTGATAGTGTTTTATGGTTTATGTGGCTTTAGTGTAAGTGTGCCCTCATTGGTTGGTTTGACAAAGAAACAAAACCATGAATAAATTCAGTCTGTTTAGCGTGTACCAAGTGATTCCAACCATGTGAAATTTAATTTTAGAATAAGTCCAGCTCTCCCCTGAAGATCTGAAACATATCGTAGTGAACATTTGTTAACAATCACAACATGAAGCCCATGGAACACCGCAGATAGGTCAGAGATGATTCTGCATGAATATTTAAAGTAGGCTTATGTTATTGTGATCTGCTATATCAAATGCAGCACTGAGATCTAAAAGAATAAAAACAGACCCAAGTCCATTATCTTAGCCCATAAGAATCTCATTACTGTCTTAACACCAGTCAATAATGAAGAGTTGATTCTTTGAGTAACATGAATATTTGGTACATAAAAGAAATGTACCGTACAAAACAAGGTTAGAACATGTTTTTGACCTTCTATTTTGTAATCCTCCCTTATTTCTCCTGCTCACACTTCAGCTTGTTATGCATCTTTCTAAATTACCCACACACCATACATCAGAACATAATTACACTTCTGTGCGTGATAAGCATGATGCGTAAGGGACAACAGCGATGCTACCTCACCTCTGAGGGCCTCGGCACAAAATCTCATCACAGTTCATACTTTTGGAATACTATTTGTGTCCCGTCTATCTACATGATTAGCCATGGGGTGAACTAGCTGGTGTGTGATTTGTAGCAGAGTAATTTCACTGTGTTGTGTCTCTGCTGACCCCAAGGCAACAGTAGCAAGTCAGTCATTAACTGCAGAGCCACACATCACTTCTGACAGGTTAATAACCACCAGCTAGAACTGGTTAGCAGCAGGGATGGGATTGGATCTTTTAGTGCTTGATTCCTTTAATAACAGTGAATTTCTTTGTTGGCTAATCTTTCAATATCTATGTTTGTAATGCCCTTCAAAAATACACAAAATAATAATAATACAAATATCAAGTAATTATAAGTAATTTGATAAACTGTGATCTTAAATTATATGTGGTTGTGTTGACTACACAGACCCTCCGATGCTGGATCCAGTCTTTCAGGATGTACGTTCAAGGAACTTTCAAATAGTGACCCTGAGATGTACTGTCCTGCGTTCCAACCCTCCCCGTCTGACAGACATCCGCTGGCTACGCAATGGCGAGTTCATCCGCATGTCCATGCCCGACCTGAAGCAGACACCTGAGCTGAAGTTTAAGCTCGAACCCACCAACAATGGCACGTATGAGTGCCGAGTCAGCAATAGTGCAGGGACATCAACATGTCGGTTTAACGTCTCTGGTAAGTGAAAAGAAAAAGTATTTTCAATATTTGTGCTTCTGTAATATACATGAATCTTTTTTATCTCTATCCTTTTTAAATTTCTCCCTGGCCTACAGCTCGACCATACAATGCAGAGTTTTATTTTGACACACCAAACCCAGTACGCATCCTGAAGGGAAACAATTATTCCTACAACTTGCAGTGGACACAAAGGGACCCCCAGGCCACAGACCGTATCATTGGCTACTGGCTAAACGTTCGAAAGGTAAAATACTGATCTTCTAGTAATACCTTTAAACAGTGAGAGGTGTTTTAGAGAGCTGTTCAAGAGCACACACAGTTGTGTCTGTACTCATATTGGCACATCTGTTTATGACCTGGATAATGGATTGACAAACCCACAGTCACTATCTTATTTTTCAAATGCTTTATGCTGACACCTGATGGCTAAAAACAAGATTAGAGAAAGGCTTTATTACGATATACATGGTTTGATGTAAGATACCTGTGCAAATTAGCTTGTTAGGTTAGATATTATTGGTGACGGAGAGAGGGCAAAGCAGTGCATGTAGTAATCTTGGCTGAGTGAGATCCAAGGTGTACAGGAGTCACAGAGAACAAGACTGAGATTGAGTTCAGGAATGCTCAAGGCAAAAAGAGACAAGGATATATAGGAATATATTTAACATAGGCAACCATGCGTTGGGGATTCTTTCTTCATATTCTACAGAAAAGCAACCACAGAGATGGTTAGAGAGCCTCTTGGGTAGGAAGGCTCGGTAAAGTTGGTCAGTATAATGCAAGATAAGCACTGACCTATGCTTGAAAAGGTGACCTTGAGTGGAAAATGTTATATCTGTTTTTGTCATGAATTTTAATACTAGGTAAACATGGGGCTTTATAGGGTTTAACAATGTCAAGCATTTAAGTTCATCAATAGACACTTCCTCTGAATAAACAAAGAACTGCTCCTTCTTAGTATTCTTAATTAAAAGGCCTCCCTAACCCTTTTTATTTTTGGTTTGTAACATTTATATGTTTTAAAACAAACTGCACAATTTTACAAAATATTATGAGCAGAATACAAAACTATAGAGTATGTAATGCCCGCGTCAAAAAGGACTTCTTATTTTGTGTACTAAGCAAGTGTTAATAACACGTTTTGAAGGACTTTAACCAGCATAATTTATTAGTCTTTTAGTGTAGGTCCTGTAGTTCTGAGTTCTTCAGAATTGTGGTTAATTTGAAGATCCCATGCTGATCATACTCGTTTAAAAAGATGAAGCTTGCACATTTATGTAATCTGGAAATTACATCTAAGCAGAATTGACTACACTTATTTGAGTCAACTCTTATTGTTCTAATATCTTCTTGAATTGTATTAAAGAAGTTGCAAAAGAAACAGAACGTTCTAGGCATTGCCTTAATCCATAGCTGGGCTATTTGTGAATTTGATTGTTTGTTTGTTTTTTATTTGGAGGCTCAAAACGCCATGACTGCCTAAAGAAGGGAAAGGTCTTCTTACATTTTTTTTTTTACAGTACATGGATCTAAATCCTAATGCATGAAGTTTTTATTCTAATGAAAGTACAGAAGAGGGAAATAATAAAAATGTCAAAAGTCAACAATCTAGAACCAAAAAAAAAAATGGTATTGCAGAAAATTATATTTATGAAAATATAAAAAGATATTTGTTCTTTTGATAATGTCTGGAATATGTGTCTTTACCCAACTATATTTCATTTCCATATCTATTTGCTTTTCTTTATTTGGAGGCCAGCAGTGGTATCCGAATAAACATGTTATAACAATAGCTTTTCTAAAAGGCCTGATTTATAACCATAGGACCTGATCTACTCCTATGTTCACAAAACAGTTCAGTGCCAACCGTAACACTATTAAAAAAAGAATTACGTAGAGAGAAATCAAATCGTTCCGTTTTTTCAAGTTTCACCTCTTTCTTTAATATACAGACATTACATAGTTGTGAGATTATTTATTTCCATAGTCATCTATATTACACTTAGATTCAGAAAGTAGTAGTGGAATAGTTTCAGTAAATTATTAATCCAATTCTGATTTTAACCCAGACATCCAAAAGACACATCCATTGAAAAACTTTGATACAGTATTTAGTATAGTTGGTGTATTTGCGGATGATGTGTTTTTTCTATTTTTCCCTTCTCCATCTTTCTGCTGGGTTTTTGTTTTATTCTTCACCCAGGTCTTTTTTTCTGTTTCCAATAATAACGAAGCTAAGAAACTGTTACAGAAGTGTGTATTTCATGGCATTTCATATTTTATTTTCACTGCCATCAGAAATTGCACATTTGATATTGGATGAACTAAAGTCAACTTAAATATAGCTATATATTTTTTTCTTTACCTGCACATATTTCTTTTTTTTTTTTTTTTACCTGATAAGTACAGAATGTCCAGAACATAAAAGAAGTAATAGTGTAAAAGGACACAAGGGTGCAAAATGGAGAACTGCAATTCAAATTAAAGAATAACATGAAATCTCACACATCCTCTTGACTGCTAAGTACAGCAGTGGATCATCCAAATGTAATATCTCATTTTCACAACCTATCTCCACATTCCCTACATTTTTTTTTTTTTTTTTTACAGTTCATCCTTTTGGCACCTTGACAGTCTATCTTCTCAGTACACAGAAAATGATGTAGGGTCCTCAGGGAAACACACAAACTTTGAGGAAAATACATCCGAGTACAAAATCAGCTAATCTTTTGCTGTACATTTGATCTTAAACATAGCTGCAACAGTTTTTCATTTATCTGTATGCGCATGCTGATTCAGTTTATTTCTGATGTAAGATTCTGTACATTTATTCAGCTTTATGCCTTCCATTTTGAGGATTAACTTTAATTACCCACCAGTGAATTTACCAGAAGTCAGAGTATCTAAAGTATGTGTACATGAGTTAATGAATATATACTGAAGATATTCATGTTTTCATGAGAACATGTGAGTCTGCTTGGTACCTGGGGTTTGGGGTGCTGATGTCTCTGAGTAGGAATTAACTGCCTTGACAGGTCACCCTTTCCTATCAAGTTGCCCCAACACCTAATTATTTTGCACCATAATCTTCACCTGAAGTAGCTTTGCAAATAGTAGCTTTTATCTCTAAGAGATCATTTTACCTGCCTTTTTAAAAAAATTAGTCATGCAAAATTCTTGCTTATTACAGATTTTCCATACACAACACTCTAAAGTAGTAGATAACAGTAGGGTGGACAGAAAACAACTAGGTAAAATATTTTTTTGCACATTAGCAAGATACTTAACACCTTTTACTATTATAGCTTACCTATTGTGGCTTTTGCTGAATGATCCTTTTTTGTTATTTAGATATTGCTCTTTTGACAATCCACTAACTAGTTGATAATGAGAGTAGAGGTTGTAGTATATCAACTATAATTCTTACCAGCTTGGTTAAAATTTACCTGTTATGGTAGCCATCTGTTCAAATAGCTAGAAATAGAAGTTATAGTAATTGATAGTGAAATAGTAAAACAGTAAAGTTACATTTGGTTTTACAGTGAAAAATTAACAATGACCCAGGAATGCATTAAACTGTGATGAAGCTGAAAGAGAACGGGTTAGCTTAGCTGGTCCCAGGACGTCTGGCTCTGACGGGTCCACCTGAAACAAAAGACAGATCTTTGCTTTTATTCTGTCTGGACATTATTGCTTTAATCCTGGAGATGTTCTTTAGGTGATAAAAGGCTGACTTAGTAATTGCTTTTATGTGCCTTATTTTAATGCAATTTTTCAATTGCTCTAACTTAAAACAAAAGACTGTAAAAAAACAGATACTCAACGGAAAGTAAAAATATTGCAATAGTTTCAAAATAACAAATAACAGAGCCTTGCCATTTTTTTACTTCCTGCAGCATTTTGAACTCCCCAGCATGAAGTTATATTAATCAGTGGACAGCACACAGCAGTGGTCACACCTAAATATTTCCCAAACCCACAAATTATCTAAGTCCAACTCAGTCCTGCCACATGAAAACATTATGTTTAAGTTCTGATATTCAACTGCTGGTATTGAACTTGTCATCTTACTCAGAAGATGCAGGAAAGGGTAATGGGGGCAACAATCTTAGCAGAGACTTCCCTCTTCCCAGACACCTCCTTCACTTCTGCTGGGGTAAGGTCCAGCTGAAAAAGATGCTTGAGCTACCTTAGCCATCTCCTGACAATGTGGAAATGGAAAAGCAGCTCTACTCTGAGACTGTCCTGGATGATCCAAGCTCCTCACCCTATCTGTAATAGAGTCCCTAGCAACCTCGAAAATAAAATTATTTCAGCCGCTTGTATTTGGAACCTTGTTCTTCTGGTCATGATCCAGATTTAATGACCATACAATGGGTAAAATAAGTATTGAACACCACCCTTTTTCTCAGTAAATATATTTCTAGAGGTGCTATTGACATGCCTTTTTCACAAGATCTTGGTAATACTCCATGCAATCCACATATACAAAGAAATCGAACAATATATATACAGAAATTAAGTTATGTGTAATAATGTGGAATGGGAAAAGGCAAGGGAAAAAGTATTGAACATGTGAAGAAGAGTAGGTGCAAAAAAAAAAAAAATACATGCAAAGCCAAGACACCACCCCAAATCTTTCAGTAATTAGAAAGCAATCCTTTCCCCTTTCAGTGCAAATTAATATCAGCTAGTTCAGTCCCAAATGATGGCCTATAAAAAGGTGTCTCTGGTATCACACAAAAAAACATCCTATGATGGGTAGAATTAAAGAGCTTTCTCAAGACCTTCACAACCCTGTTGTTGCAAATCATAATGATGGTATTGGTTACAAAAGGATTTCTAAACCTCTGAATGTTCCATTGATCACTTTTGGGGCCATATTCCAGAGGTGGAAAGAACATCATATTACCATAAACTGACCACAACCAGGTGATTCAACAAAAGAGTTGTCCAAGAGCCAAAGACCACGTGTGGAAAGCTTCAGGAATACATGGATTAATGCAGGTACAAGTGATGCACTCAAGCGCCATGGTATGTGTAGACTGCATGTAGTATTATCCACATCTGGTAAAAATGTCATTTCAATAGCACCACTAGAAATATATTAACTGAAAAAAATAATGTTGTATGTTCAATACTTATCTCACACGCTGTAAGAGAGGGTAGGATTGTAGACCTACTGAGACTAAATTGAGAGCTTTGCTTTTCTGCGTAGCTCTCTCCTTACCACAACATTATAGC